TTTTAAAGTGTAGATCATGGCTGTTTACCCCGGTTGCCAAATTTTCAAATGATCCGCTTTTTAGTTCTCCATAAACGTCTAATACGCCATCCACCGTGGGACACCCTGTATACAAGATTGCGCCCATGGTAAAAAAATGTTGCTTACGCTATCACCAATAACATATTTAAATTTCATCCAAATATCACGGGTAACCAATTTCCGTTTAAATATTGCAGGGTCCTTTGAAAATTCACGATTTACAAAATGCACAAGCTTTCAAATAAGCCGATCGTGAATTTCCAGAATTCGTTGACGCACATATTTCGACCGACTGCGTCGCATATGACAGATTTGCACGGATTTCAAATAAACCCCCCCAGTATCAAATTTCAAAATATCAATAGAATATTAATGACATTTCAAAAAGTATATATTAAATTATGAAGTTGTTTTGAGTTATGTATTAATTATGCATTAAATTATGAAAAAATTACGACTTAAATTTATCAAAAGTTGTTTAAATCCGCCTTAAAAAATAAAGCATTAACAAATAAGTATACAGTGAGGGGCAAGCTACTAGGTATATAGGATGTAACCTGACGAATTTGCAGGCGTCCGCATGTCAGAAAATGACAAATCGATTTAGCGCTAACCCGGCGACAACCAAGTGAAAAGTTTCTAGGGTTGTTAATAATTTTCAAAAATACGGTTGTGTTTCTCCCTGAAACCAAACGAAATGACGTCCCGGAAAATAATGAGGATCAAGAAGCCAAATAAATTATGTTGTTGGTTGTTGGCATTAGTTAATACTTCAACTATTTCGACTCGTGCGCTTGCGCAGGATATTGACTCAAGTACAAGGACGGTTAGGAGCCACAGAAAAAAAAAAGTATCGTTCGTACAAAGTAAGAAACTCCCAAAAAATTGATCCTGAGGACAACATCAGGCGAATGGATTTTTGTGAAACTGTCATTAATAAGGCAAATGAAAATCAAGATTTTCTTAGAAAAATTGTCTTTACAGATGAGTCGACATTTTAACTCCATGGTCGACATAATCCTAGTCACACCCGTTATTGGTCTAAGGAGAATTTACACAGGTATTTTGAGCTTAGAGCCCAGCGTCGTCAAAAGGTAACTGTCTGGAGCGGTTTGTGTGGATAACATATTATTGGGCCGTACTTCATGGACGCTAACTTAACTGGTCCAAAATATTTGGATCTTTTGCAACGGGCCAACGGCAGATAATTCCAGAAATTGAATTGAATCCTATAGATTTAATGAAATATGGTATCAATAAGATGGATGTCCAGCCCATAATACGGGTTTCATTCTGGACCATTTGAATAATACTTTTCCGAACCGTCTCATTGCTGGGTCGAGAGCTACAATACTGTGACGCTCTCCCGATCTTGCACCCAACGATTATTTTCTCTGGGGTTATTGCAAATCAAAAATGTATGGTTTTCAGGAGAACCGCGCCGTGAACCTTGAGCAGCTGCGTTTCAAAATTCGAGAAATATATCTAACTGTCACCCCTGTGATGCTAAATAATATTCGTAGAGCCTTCTATGATAGTTTAGGTCATTGTTTAGTTCAAGAAAGTGGACTGAGACTGTTTGAACATTTGCTACATTGTAGTGGTAGGTAATCGAGCCAGGTTTTTGGGGTCAAAACTAGAATTTTTGTTTTTATTTTACTTAATTTTTTTTCTATTTTTTAAGTTGAATATATTTTTAGTTTTTCCTGGATGGCTTTTTCAAAATACATGTTTTTTTCCATAGATTATTGCTTCGGTTCCAAAAAAAATCTATCTATACACGCCGTTTAATAATTATAAGTAAGTGAAGCTCGACGATACATCTAAAAGCACGGTCTAGATGCTACGTTTTGCATCAACTTTTGTCTGCACAGTTCAACACGTGATCAGGTATCAGTAACGTAACGTCTGGACCGGGCTTAAGTCTGTAAAATCATAAAACGTACTGATGTGAACCATGGTTTATGAACGTCAAAGTCATCGAAAAAACGACAGCGGACCGACAGCGACAGGTGTTTAGACGGCTGCGGACGATCGTAAATTCGTCAAGTTGGATCCTATATACCTAGTAGCCTGCCCCTTACTGTATTTTTCTGCGATTGACAAGAAATGTCAGCATTTTTGACCGGTTAACAGGTCGCAAAACTCCAAGGCGGATTTAAACAACTTTTGATAAAGGACCCCGCACATTTCTTATGGAAAAGTGATCTATGTGGAATTTTGCTGAATTTTTGATATTGTGTAGAGGCAGTCGTCCTTAACAAAAGTGATCATTGCGCTAATGTTCAATACCCAACAGTTTTCAAGATATCAATAGAAGAATTCATTATGAATGACGACAAACAAAGTCATATAACCTATAAATAGCATTGTCAATGTTATTAATTTTTTTTCAATTTTGGGCTTAAATTTAATAATTGACCTTTTCAATTTAGAAGCCTCTCTCTCTGGCGTCAGACTGTCAGACGCCAAAAGAGTATGAAAACAATGATTGACAGCTATTGACAGTGGTTTGTTGACAAGAGTTTTATACGTGTGAGACTGGAAACTATCTGGAAACTTTCCTCGGTTTTTTCCTAACAATGGTGATTGTGTGTAGTGTGCCTTTTCGTGAAAATAATTCCTATTCACCGGCGGACGTGTCTTTCCATAAGTTTTCATCAAATCCTACATTTGTCAAAATTTGGATACACAAAATCAGAACTGATACTCGCAAAAGTAAGGGAAATCCACGACCCATCAAGTATACAAAGATATCCACGTCCAAGTTTAGTTTGCGGAAGCTTTTTGCTTCCCACATTTTCTTTCCAATTTCAAATTTCACCATTCTATGTCGGTCATTGTCATTTTCCATTCACTGAACAAAGATACCTAACTCATCGGTGGAGTCACCGATTAGAATAAAAACCAGGGGATTGCTAAACACCCTATACACTTGACATTGATGAGCAAGCAAATGTTGGCGGGAATCTGAATGTTTTCATACTTTATCGTCCATCTCTTTTAATTGAAAACGTCAATTATGGCAGTTTTGGGAGAACGTGATATGTTTTATCGAGAGACGATGAAGCGATGTGTCTTTGGTGATTGTAAAAGTGATAGTCGAACAAGTTTCATTAAATTAACGACCCCATTTGCCTCTACTGGAGTTTTAGGTAACACAGCACCTGTCACATCACTCTGTTAATTTTATCAAACGTTTTGCAACCAAAGAAGCCATAGCGAATGCACCGAATACTTACGAAAGCGTAGATTTATGTATTTTTTCAGTATGACGTCACTCACAGCAACGAAAATTATTACTATCCTTTCCACTTTTGACTTTGACTTCACTCTTCTCCTTTTAACATTAAGAAAAAAAAAAGATAGCGATAGCGATTAGTGACAAATAGGTAGGTATGTAAACAACACCTAGCACCTGCCGCAATCGTCAACTTCATGTCATGATGTCTGTCATATAGCGATTTCATTTGTACCTGTTGTTGTTTTTTTCTATTTCCTAAATGTTAAAAGGAGAAGAGTATAAGTATAGGTAGTCAAAGTCAAAAGTGAAAAGGATAGTTCTAATTTTCGGTGCTGTGAGCATACTGGTGACGTCATACTAAAGAGTGTCAAATTAAAAAAGTTTTTAATAGATATCTTGAAAACTGTTGGGTATTGAACATTAGCGCAATGACCACTTTTGTTAAGGACGACTCCCTATACACAATATCAAAAATTCAGCAAAATTCCACATAGATCACTTTTCCATAAGAAATGTGCGGGGTCCTTTAAGTTGTAATTTTTTTATAATTTAATGCGTAATTTAATACATAACTCAAAGCCCCAGTTTAAACAACTTCATAATTTAATACATAATTTTTGAAATGTAATTAATATTCTATTGATATTTTGAAATTTGCCACTGACAGAACTCGAAAGGTCCAGTTTTTTCATAATTTAATGCATAAAAGTTAAAAGTTGGGAACTTTTAAGGTTATCCATTATGAACTAAATTATGAATTGAGCATTAAATAGATGTATAAACGCTTCCATAGAAATTAATAAATTTAACTTTAAAGCTTATGCACTAAATTGTGAATTACGCACTAAATTAAAGTATGAAGTTGTTTAAACTCGCCTTCAATGTTCTAGTATTTTAATTATGTTTCAATAGTTGCTAAGGAATCAATGAATAACAATACGGGAATCTCGACGGAAATCACTTTTCTGGCCTAGGCCGGGAAAGTGATTCTCATACTGCTGAATAATTGGAACAAGAAGACAAACATTTAACAGATATTTAACCGATCGCAGAAAAAATAGTATGTGTATTTCGGTGGAAAAGAACATTCTCGGCCTTCGGTGTTTGCCGGCCTCGGCTACGCCTCGCCCGTCAACTTACACCGTCGGCCGAGGATGTGTCACTTTTCCACCTTAATACACAATATACTATTTTTATAAACTTACATCCAATTTGGTCTTCTTGGCTTTCCTTTTTTGGGTACCATGTCTCTTCCTTTTGAATTCCATTAAACTGATTTCATTTAAAGCCTGAAAATAAAGTAAAAAAACATTACTTAAAAAATGTGTGATACTCTGGGAATAGTTACTACTGGGATGATAAGATTGAAGGACACATTTCAGAACTATGCATCAAAACATTATTTGAAGTAAAGTTCTGTATACCTATTATGAAATTGAAAATGATGTTGATCTGATTATAGTTGCTAAGGAATAACAATACGAGAATCACTTTTCCGGCCTAGGCCGGGAAAGTGATTCTCATACTGCTGAATAATTGGAACAAAAAGACAAACATTTAACAGATATTCAACCGATCGCAGAAAAAATAGTATGTGCATTTCAGTGGAAAAGCATATTCTCGGCCTTCGGTGTTTGCCGGCCTCGGCTACGCCTCGCCCGTCAACTTACACCGTCGGCCGAGGATGTGTCACTTTTCCACCTTAATACACAATATACTATTTTTATAAACTTACATCCAATTTGGTCTTCTTGGCTTTCCTTTTTTGGGTACCATGTCTCTTCCTTTTGAATTCCATTAAACTGATTTCATTTAAAGCCTGAAAATAAAGTAAAAAAACATTACTTAAAAAATGTGTGATACTCTGGGAATAGTTACTACTGGGATGATAAGATTGAAGGACACATTTCAGAACTATGCATCAAAACATTATTTGAAGTAAAGTTCTGTATACCTATTATGAAATTGAAAATGATGTTGATCTGATTATAGTTGCTAAGGAATAACAATACGAGAATCACTTTTCCGGCCTAGGCCGGGAAAGTGATTCTCATACTGCTGAATAATTGGAACAAAAAGACAAACATTTAACAGATATTCAACCGATCGCAGAAAAAATAGTATGTGCATTTCAGTGGAAAAGCATATTCTCGGCCTTCGGTGTTTGCCGGCCTCGGCTACGCCTCGCCCGTCAACTTACACCGTCGGTAGAGTATGTGTCACTTTTCCACCCAAATACACAATATACTATTGTGAGTGGCGGAAATATCAAAAAACCAAATGGAAATAGGATTTTTATTCTTTCCCTCAAGATTTTAGGTGGCACTACTACCATCTTTAAATAGGAACAGGAACGAGACAGGGTGTTCTAGAATATTGATCCAAATTATTTTTGAAATCGGGAGGGGATCAAGAGTGAAAATATCAGAACATTTAAGAAAAGCAAAGTTTTTATCCTGTTTCTCGAGATCTAAGATGGGATACCATTACCGTCTTTTAGCAGAGCCTCTGGAAACAGCTTATCTAATCTTTGAAAAATATAAACATGAAATCATCAAGGCACAAAAAAATACACATAACACCTGGCAAACATACAAAATCCCATTGCCTATACCAAAACCGACTCAAATTCAATCTCTATTATAAATAAAAGTAAAAACATGTCTTATCACCTGGCCCTTCCAAATGAGAAGTTTCAAAAGTGAGAAAATTCAAGAAAGATGTAAAAATTCTCCTTGCTTTGATCTTCTAACAGGGTGTTCTAGAACACTGTCAAATTCTTTTTAAAATCGGTACCCAAAGAATCAAGGCTTGACAATATTAAAAACTTAATAAAAATAAGGTTTTTATCCTTTCTCAGAGGATTTTGGATGTGGTACCACTAGCATCTTCTAGCAGGGACTGAAAATATCAGCAACAAACCCTTTGTTAGAATGCGACACTGGAAGTCCAGAAACATCTGTTTCCAAGAAAATGTATACTTAAGATATCAGGTACCAGTGTGAAGTTAGCAGCCAATTTGACGGAATTACCCCAACGCCCATTGGCGTACAATTTTTTTTCAATTGAAAATATATCCAATAAATCATACTTAGGCACTGAGTCTAGCCATGGAATTGATAAAGTACTATTTTAACCAATGACAATACCTTTCCCAACCACTATGCAAAATCCCATTGACTTATTAAACCATGTCGAAATATGAATATTTATGGATTTTTATTTGTTAAGGGTAGATTTCCATATTTCGACGAGGATTGAGTCAATAGGATTTTGCATAGGGGTTGGAAATGGTGTTAAAATAAAAATAGTACCCTATTAATTTCATGGCTAGACTGGAAGTGCAAGTTGGGAAAAAATACAAAAATCTCAATATTTAGGCATTTTCATTTGTTAAGGGTAGTTTTTCATATTTCGACGGGGTTTGAGTTAATGAGATTTTGCATGGGGGTTGGAAAAGGTGTGAAAATAGTATCGTTTTAATTTCATGGCTAGACAAGTCCAAGCTAGAAGAAAATATGAAAACTCGATATTTATGCATTTTCATTTGTTGAGGGTATTTTTTCATATTTCGACGGGGTTTGAGTTGATAGGATTTTGCATGGGGGTTGGAAAAGGTGTCAAAATAGTACCCTATTAATTCCATGGCTAGACTCGAAGTCCAACTTAGAAGAAAATATGAAAATCTCAATATTTATGCATTTGCACTTGTTAAGGCATTAAGGCTAGTTTTTCATATTCCAAGGGGGTTCGAGTTAATGGGATTTTGCATGGGGGTTGGAAATGGTGTTAAAATAGTACCCTATCAATTTCATGGCTAGCCTCGAATTCCAACTTAGAAGAAAATACAAAAATCTCAATACTTATGCATTTTCACTTGTTAAGGGTAGTTTTTCATATTTCGACAGGGTTTGAGTTAAGGTAAAGTACCCAGTTGTTGACAGGGTCCCAAAAGTTGATACATTAGCATATTATTCCCGAAAATAAGAATTTATAGAGGTTATCAGCTAACTGAAATAGCTCATAGTATTGTTGGAGCCATCTTGCGCGTTATAGCTGATGCATGGATTTAAATCACGAGTTTTTTCAAAATAATGGCAAGAAGTAGTAAATAAATAAATAAATAAATAAATAAGCCTTTATTTCCAACAGGAACAAGTCCCAATTACAGGAAAAATGAGTTTTCTGTACATATTACAATCATGACGTCTTAATAATAATAATAACAATAGCAATCAATAATAATAATAATAATAGAGAGAAAAATTAACTGTTCAGTAAAGCAACGATGATTCTTGACAATCGGTCCTCATTAATATCGCACACACTTGAAATACCAATGAATACAGAGCACACAAAATATAGTGGGCATTGCATTAAGATGTTTGACCTAGCCCTACCCAAGTGAAACGTTGAGTCATATCTCCCCGCCAGACGTGGAACCCGAAACTGAATCCCAGCCAATAGCGAGGGACAGTCGATTACATTGTGCAGTAGGTTATACAAGAACTTAACACCCAGTACTTTTCTACAAACTGAAAGCGATTCTATATTGAATCGTTGTAAATACTGGCAATGTTCAATGCCTCTGGGAGGATATGACCCCGAGCTTACATATTCAATGTGAGGTACAAAAGTAAAGCGGCTGTCAAAAACTATACCCAAATCTCTAATTTCGTTAACCCTACTCAATGATTTTCCTTCAATAACATATTGATACAAAATTGGCTCCTTAACTCTACAGTAACTGACAATATTGCATTTTTCAATATTTAAGTATAGCATATTTTTGTTACACCAAGTGTGTAAGTCATTTAGACAAACTTGCAAATTTATACAGTCCTCCTCACCATTGACAGAGGTAAAAAGCTTCAAGTCGTCAGCATATGCGAGCTTTGAACAGGGCAAAGCAGTAATAAGATCGTTAATAAATATATTAAAGAGAAATGGTCCCAAATTGGATCCTTGCGGAACACCTGAAGTGATGTTAAACACCGACAACCTGAAGCCCTCATACTGCACAAAAAGACTTCTGTCGAATAAGTAAGACCGAAACAGGCTGACGAGCCCATCCGACAATCCCAAGGCCTGAAGTTTGGAAAGTAAAATAAAATGATTAATGCGATCAAAAGCCTTTTGAAAGTCAGTATAGACTACGTCAACCTGTCCAAGCCCATCCAGACCTGCGCAAATTTCATTTGACAAGACAGCAAGATTGGTGACGCATGAGCGACCGTTTATAAAACCGTGCTGCTCATTCGCAATCTGGTTCCTAACATATGGAAAAAGTTTACCATAAAGAATAATTTCAAAAACTTTAGAGAAATTACAAAGTAAAGAGATTGGCCTATAGTTGCTGACTTGGGAGATATCACCTTTTTTATGAATGGGGATAACTTTTGCCACTTTCCATGCTGCAGGAATGCAGGAAAATAACTAGTCTTAAGAATAAGGTTGTAAATATGCTGCAGAGGATCGGCGAGTGCACCAATACAATCTCTAACTAGAAAGCTAGGAATACCGTCGGCTCCCGATGTTAATTTGTTATTAAGCTTCTTGCCTGCATCAATAATATCTGTGGTATTAACAAAAGAAAAGTTGATGGAATCAGAACATGACGCAAACTCGTTATTGTCATAGGGCGTAGAATCAATATAAACATCATGAAAAAAGGAACCAAAGCCTTCCACTATTTCTTGGGCATTTGAGTATTGTGTACCATGATTAAAAACTAACCCAGGTATCCCAGTGACATTTTTTTTGGAATTAATAAAAGGCCAAAAAGTTTTTGGATCAGATTTGACAGATGATTCAATTTTTTTTATGTACTGTAAATACGCGTTGGTAATTTGATTTTTTACTAGTCGTCTGAGAGAATCAAATCTCTCGTAGTTGTTTTGGCCGCGAAATCGGAGATATTTCTTGCGAGCGTTCTCTTTGAGGCGAATGTTGTCAATTATTTCTTTTGTATAATAGGTAGGATACCGGCGATTACGTTTGATTTTCTTTGGAACACAACGGTCAAAAATACTATTAAGGACAGCATATAAAGCCGAGCATGCATCATCAACACCAGCAGAATTAAAGACGAGAGACCAATCTGCATGTAAAATTAAATCATACATTGAAAGAAAGTCTGATTTTCTGAAGTTATATTCATTAAACTCGGTTTTGTTTACTTGAAAATTACTAAAATGAGTTGTTGAGGCTTCAAAGTCGAAACAAAGCGATGGGTGATGTGCATCCTCGTTCACAAGTGGTACATTATTTCTCATTACATTGCAGTGCGTGTTGGAAAAGATGAGATCCAACATACGGTTATTACCATTCAAAACACTATTATACTGCGTAAGATTCAGTATACCCATGAAGTTTTTAAGGATGTTGCTTAGAATCAGTTAAGTCATGGTTAACAAAAAGAGGCACATTAAAGTCTCCCAGCACAATAAGATTCTTACTGTAAATTAAATTGTTTGAAAGAAACGAGTCAAAAAACAACTCGACATCATTTTTCAGTCCAGAAGGAGGTATGTATATGGTAAACACAAAAACAACAGAAGCTTCCAATATTAATTTACAACAAATAAAATCGATCAATGGCACTATAGATTTTAGATTCGGCAGCGGAACCAGTTGAGATCTAATTTTATTGTCAACCGCCAAAAGCACACCACCGCCCTTCAAGGCGTCCACACACTCGAAATAATTACGGTCCACGCGATAAACATTGTAAAAGTCTGGGAAGATTTCAGAGTTATTAATTTCAAGTCGTAGCCTGGTTTCCGTGACAGCAATCATATCGAAACCAGAGGCCGCCAC